GGATGCAACTACAGCGATCAGTTCGCATGTATCAATGAGATTCAGCTCGCTTAAGTTTGAGGCTCAATTGAGTGAGGTCAAGCTTTTGTGGACAGAAGTAGGCATTTCTTTCTCAATCTCTTTTCGGACTTCCTTCTTGAGTGAATATACATCGCGTTATGGAAACTTTCCGACGAATTCAACGTCTTGATTGTCTGCCGTAAACCAAATTTCTGAAATAGCAGTCGCTATTCTATTATTATTACAACGGGGGATTAGAATTCCCTGTTACTTGCCGAAACAAACCAGGTCATCAAAACATACGTACTGAAACGTGTCACTACAACTAGCGCAGTGAAATCATATTTATTGTCAATCACTTTTGTTTTTGTCACACAATGTACGTTAGCCTAAAATTTGAGTGACGTTTACTCACTTTTCCTGGTACGCATCGGAGTACAATTCCGACTCTTTCGCATTTTATTGTTCATCATTAAACTGTGAATTCAAACATATCGACCGCTTGTTTTGAATATTCGTAATGTCGAGAAGTAATCTGGGGGCTAGGATTGAATTAATTTCTCCTTCGGCGAGGGCAGTGCGGTTTCCAGCCGTGTCTGATATATTGGCTATCACTAACCGCATCATGATACTCATTGATGGGGCGAAATATAACAAAGAAGCATTGCCTATCATGAAGTGCTATCTGATGGCAGTAAAGGAGGCAATTGATGTGCAGCATGACGGTATCGATGAGGAATATACACTAGAGTTAGTGAAAGCATTGGAGGAGTGGGAAAGGTTTCTCGAACAATATACCAAACCTAAAATGAAAACTTTGTTAGTTAAACTTCAGAATAATTTGCAGGTTGGTAATGGAGTACATTTTGAATTTACCTTGAATGTTTTCTTCTGGCTTTACGACAGATTACGACTTTATTATGTACTGTATAGATAGACAAAAAGATACGTGGACTGTTTGACAAACTGGATAAAGCTCTTAATGATGCTCGTCTTGAAGTAGAATTGGAAGATAACGCGAAGTTGCGAGAATACATAAAGATTCCGCGAGAGAAAACACATGACACAGGCGGCTGTTGTATGATGGACATAGATGATAATCTACCCACTACAATTCGTCCTGATTCTACTTCTATCAAGGATGATATGAAGAAAGCCTTCGAGGATGATTTTGTTACAACTGCATGTTTTCATGGTCTTCCATTGCCGCCAGAAAAACTTAACAACCTAAAGGTTGATCCTACATGGGTCCATTCTATCCCTGACGCTCAATATAATGGCGTAGGTCCCGAAAAGGTAGTCTATTGTGGTGGCTCCCACGCTGCGAAGATTAAGATCGCACATGAAGGAGAAGACATTAGTAGGTACTGGGTACGGGCCTATATTAGCTCTCAACTTAATACAGATTTGTTCATGAGAAAGTATGTATTTATTACAATCTGCACGTCACTAGAAATACCTTTCGTTCCTTTGTATTGTTTCGACGAATTAACCATTTGCTCTTTTTATATAGTTATGGAATTTTACTGGAAAACGGTGTATATTACATGATCACAGAGTGGCCAGAAGTAGGAACGCTCAGTAAATATCTCGCCGATCATACAGATATTCCATGGGGTCAAAGAATAGGCATAGCAACACGTTTGGCAAGAGCGCTTGCCATTTGTCATAGTAAATACATTTTGCATCATGACATACGCAGGTAGGGATGAATGATATTGTCAATGTTTTATCAGTCTCTGCCGTTCTGTTGATCTACATTACTTATAATACTGATTCTGATTACAGTCACAACGTGACCGTAGGCAAGAACAATATTGTCAAGCTAGGCAACTATCATCGTACCAGACACACAAAAGACATTACGACCTCGGTTGCTGAAGAGTCTGATGGTGTCCGGTGGTTATGTCCCGAGAAGGTTGTGGATGGTAGTCGCCCCTATTCGATGGCAGCTGACGTGTATAGGTATGGGTATATTCAATTACCAACATAGTTATCACAAGGTTTAATTCTGATATGGGAAGTGTTATTCCATATTTACGTAACTTTATTATATGAATTTACAGTTTCGGTATGCTCATGTGGGAAATCTCTTCACATAAAATTCCTTTTACAGATAAAACTGTTGGTGAAGTATATACATTACTGAAAGACTCAGCCAAGTTCAAAGATAAAGACGCGCCGCGTCCCCCAATTATTCCTGGTACACCCAAAAAATATGAGAATATAATGAAGAGATGCTGGAGACAAGACCCAGGAACTCGCCCAAACATGGCTTACGTTTTAAAGAAATTGGAACGCCTCGATGAAGCGTACAGGAAAAATTCACACGAACCAGATACGATGTATTGGACTGGCACTACTAGTATGCCGGACTCCGAGCCGCAACACGAGCCAATAACGATCTATTCCGCACGCAAGTTACATACCGAAAAGCGCCACGCAGAAGCCTTCAAACAGTTCAAATCGCTCGCCGATGACGAGAACCCCAATGCTGAAGCAAACTTTTATGTCGGCAGATACCTTATCGACAGCAGAATCGGTTACGAAAACGATCCAAATGTAGGAATAAGCTATTTAGAAATAGCAGATCAACTTGGATTCCATGACGCTCTTCAGTATCGTGCTCAAGAAAAAATGGCAGCAGCTACAGAATTGCGAAAGAAGTTTATAGAAGCAGGAAAACTCGATGACGCGGCTTTAGTTATGGAAAGAATGAAGACAGAATGTCTACCAATGTTTCGTGAAGGCGCGGAACGCGGTAATCTGCGTTGTATGAAAGATTTAGCTGATTATGGGGCAAAGCTAGGAGATAAACAGAGTTACGTGGACGGTCTTAAAATGTTGGATAACATAGTTAAAACAACGAAAGATCCTAAACAGAAAGCTAAAGCACAAGATTTTTTGGTGAAGTTGCAACAACACAAAGACACATTTATGGATTAAGAGGAAATATCGCGCGCGGTTGTATTTATGCAGACGTTTAATTAACAGAAGAACGTGAATAATTTAATTGATTGTTCTTCCGCACCAACAGTTATTTATATCGTGTATTTTATGCTCTAAACGGGCACTTGGGCAAAGTTTTGTTATTCATGTATTTACATTTAGTAAATAATCGTATTAATATCATTAAATTTTGTATCTATATGTTATATTATGGCACATTTTGCATTTATTTCAATTGCAAGTAAACAAATAAATATTATCGTGATCATAAGACTTGACGCCATGTTAAATTCATAGGAATATATGGAAAAATGAACATTACCAACTTTCAAGAAACATAGCCTCTGCTTCCAATATGTTTCCATTGCCACAACCAAGATAAGCTGCGGAAATTGAAGAGTTCTAAATCCGTGATTAATGTTTTAACCGAGTCACGTAATAGTAATGTTAATTTAATGTTACAAGTCAAGACGTTCGACGGACTGTTTGTGTTATCGTATTTATTTGCGTAGGTATAACATTTTGGTTGCAATCTCTCCCTATATTTAAAAATACGTTAATAAGATATAAAATATTTACCCAAATCATTTCGCCTCATAATCACTTACGATTGCAACAAACACTGCCACCACTATTAACCATATAATAATCCAGGTGATTCTTCTCATATTGGATACACCAATATCTTTACGTAACATATCTAATAAATCGCTTATTACGTTGACGCGCTCGTTAAGTATTTTGGTTCGTTGAGATATTTCGAGATAGGCTATCAAGAACCCAATATGAGACACTTTTGTCTGAAACGTTTAAACTGTCCTGTGCACATAGACAATACTAACTGACCTCTTATTGCATTATACAATGGTTCTAGAGAGGGCTCTGACCAAAAAATCTCTGGAGTATCTGGACAATTAATTATATCAACATGTTAATACTGTGCAACCGAAACCAAGTTACTGAATTCACAGCATAATCACGTACCAAGTACATTTGATATCAAATTCACGTTCATCCTTAGTTTATACATCTCACCAGTGAATTTAGTGATAGTCGTTCTATCTCTATATTGAGGAAAAAATCACGTGTTCTCATTCCGGCTGCCTAAATAGCATAATAATCTCCCAACCATTTGCAATACAAGAAAAATTTTTACTCACAAATCCAATCTGCCGTTTTCGGCAAGCATTTTCGGAATAGGTTTTGTTCTCTCTATCGTATCTTCCATCTGCCACTCGTACAAGGTCAGTTTTGTACTCTGGCTAATAGCATGACTAATGGTTAACTTTGTCATATGATTTCCACTCTTTAACGTAATCATGTCGTTATAGATTCTCGGCTGTCGTCCACTTTTGAAATCGTATTGAAAATGAAACGTCTCTGGCTCTATTACTTCTTTCAATGGCCTTATGAGTACTCCCGAAGTAACCAAGTCGCGAAGCAACATTATCTCTTGCTCGTTAGTTAAATTCCAACAGACGACAACGCCATAGTCGAAAAAGAAGACTTCTCCAATGTTGAGTTCTGGGGATGGAATTGCGTAATTATTAGGTGTCGTGTTGTTCGAACCTGTTGATTGATCGCAGGCCTCGTTTGTACACTCGTCAGTATCATATTGATCAAAGTATTGGCTGGTGCCCGGTTGCATTTCATATTGATCAATTCTCTTGTCCATTATTGAGTGTCCATCTGAAGATTTGCGTGAAGTCGAAGAGCAGAGAAGAGTAGAATTACCGAGAGTTAGAGGAAAGAAATATTGAGCATAGAGACACTCATCATAGAGCCTGTTATACATATAAGAACAAAATAGAACCACAAAGATATAATATAGCTACGTATATAAAAAATGGTTTCTTACTAATACTTTCAAATTTACCTCGGATGAACATTATGTTCCTTCCTCAGAAATTTCATTAAGCGATTCAAATAGTAGCCGTCAGCCGTACAATATGCTGTAACCCTTTACAATTAAACAATAGTTCATCAATAAAACTGCTGCCCAAGCCGTGAAAAAATGTCAAATTGCCCAATCGCTTACGGGGTACACTTTGGCACATAAAACAGTTACGCGCCTATACAACGATTTGCACGATCAACAGTTTCTATTTTGTACAACCCTTTTTTTCCATCTCTCTCATTCTCTCCCGCAACAAAAGAAGACATTCCCACCTTGGACACCTACTCTGCCTCGCCTCCTTCGACATCCTCTCAGCATCTGTACGTCCCCATGTATCAACCGATGGCCGCATAACCAATGGGGACTGAGGTTCCACTTCTTCCTCACGAGTTGCTGCTGCATCACTACTTACTTTATCTGCTTGCTCAGGAAGCAGCACAAGTTTTTGAGAAGTCTTTGTTGTACGCAACGGTGTTGTTACCACTTTTGGGCGCGAGAATTGGACTGCAGGCTGATTCGGTGTTTGATTTTGAGGCTGGGGCTGGGGCTGATTCTGATTTTGATTTTGATTCTGAGGCAAAAGAGAAGAGTATGTTCGTCGATGACGCGCGGCATTAGCTGAGAGGAGCGGGGTCGTTGAAGTGGCCGGAGAGTCGGTTAAAGTCGAGTCAGAAGAAGAGACATTGGAAATCGTGCCAAAGTCGGATTTGAATCGGACTGCTGGTGGTTTGTGCTTAGTATTAGTAGTGGTAGACGTGGTGCTACGAGTGTTGTCGGTGGACGTGGACGATTGCGCATGAGCAGACATTGTAATCTGCCGAGTTTCTGGTTTTATATATCCACCAGAAGAAGAGAACGCAAGAGTGAGAGTATAAAATACAAAGAATGCATATCGTAAATGAGAAACCTTGATTATCAAAATCTTGACACGAATATAAATATAACAAAGATCTGCGCGATCCTAACGCTAATTGTCCAACATTTACGTCAAATTATTTCAAGTACAGCAGCCAACGTCATGATGCGAGTCTAACTAAAGAGTCCAACACTTTACATAAAATAATACTACTTCTTCTCCGTGTGATATATCTGGTCTTTTTTTTTTATTGTGTGATGGTACAAGTGGATGCGATCTGTATAAGTTGATATTACTGTTAACACAATAGTAGAAAAAAAATGAATGCTTATATACACGTTAGTATTGCACAACTATTTCACACGACAATTCTAATATCCGAGCGCCTTGCTAAAGAGAGTGGGTATATGCCCTCTACCGCGCGCAAAATAACGACTAGTCATTTAATAGACATCTATACACTATTCACAAATAATGTCCGAGGATTCATTCATCCGCCCGAATTACAATAGCAAAAATGTTCAAGTTCAGATAAAATTTTGTTCTTTTCAACAGGCTTACTAATAACATCGTCGAAAGTCCTTGATATTCCAGCATTATGCTCATATGCGGTAACAGCAACTATTGGTGTAGTCATGTTAATGTTTTTTGTAGATTTAATCATACGCGTGGCTAGTTCACCATCGACTAGATGAGATCGCGTGCGGTGGAAAGACGGTAAATACAAGTCAGCTCATTTAATACAACTCCTATGATTCCGACAATAATTAATAACACTTACTTATAGGCATACGAATGTCCATGAAGATAATATCAAATTTAACATCTCCCAGAGCGCATCTAACAGCCTCTGCCCCATTTCTGACAACAACACAACGACAGTTCAATTTAGATAGAATTGTTTCCATTATCTTGGCACTTATGGGATTGTCTTCGGCTACCAAACAGTCCAGTGGACGTCTGGATATTCGCATGTTTCGGGATATAGATTGGATTACATTGTTCGATCTTGGATGACTATCTCTGGTGATAGAGGGCGCACGGCTTATCGACTCGTGTCGAGTTCTATTTAGGCGTGGAGTATCCGATAAGGCTGCAGATCGGTCCACATTGCCCAATAAGGGGATTCTTAATCGTGTTGGGAGCGAATTGCGACGATGCTTTTCTTTGACAACATGTCTAACGTAGCTTAGCGGGGCCTGACTATCGCCGGACCGCGAATCGGAATTTTCACCTTGTAATACTGGCGACAACGGTGACGATGGGCCTATTTGAGATCCACTTGATATTGAGCTAGTGGAGAGGGTGGGTGAACCATTACTGGGACGTATTTCTGACATGGACCCCAGTCGAGGGCGTTGCGACCTGGGTGGTATCAGCATCTGGCGGATTTTACCATTACCATTGTCCAAATTAAGATTACCAAAATCAGAACGCAACCTTCGAATGATGTCAAGGTTGGCTTTTTCCAAAACGGGTAGATTTTTATAAACAAATGTCCCGAAATCATCCACATTCTCTTGTTCTTTGAGTTCTCCTTCGCCCAAGTCGGCGGTTTCCGGCCCAACATGATTTTTCTTACGAATCTCCTCTGTTTTAACAGCTGGCATCAGCTCTTCAACGTCGTTAAATTGAGCTGTCTGTGCGCCCCGACCATCAAAGTAATCTGTATCTTCCATATCCTTTGGTTGCGGAACAAAATCGGCTGGCTCATTTAATATAGTCTCCCAGTTTATGCCCTTGAAAAATGGATGAGATTTCACTTCATTGGCACCATTAGCACCTAGACGATCTTCCGCATTCATACATAAAAGGCGCTCTATGAAATCTCGAGCTTGCCAGGAAATTTCTACATCATCGTACCACTCTATTTTTCTGGAAAGTATATTTTCAAATACTTTCTCGGGTGTTTCTGCGTGGAATGGTGGTATACCGTAGAGGAATTCGTAACATATCACGCCTAAAGCCCACTAGCATACGCAAAAAGAGAAGTAAATATCGTGCCAAAAGTTCAAGCTTTGGCGCAGATAACTGTTGGATATCGGACGTTACGGATACATACCCAGTCAACCATGTCATTTTTTTCCATGCCCAATATACTCTCTGGTGCCAAATAATCAGGCGTCCCCACAAAGTTCTTGGTTGATTCTTGTTTTTCAGGATTAATATATACATGATTGTTTGTCGAGATACTTGTAGAGAGCGAATTTGCTGACATTGGCGTAGAATTCTGTAATTCATCAAAAAATCCCGACTTTAGCGGTGTACTTCCAGCAGGGCTGCTTGGTGTATCTGGGGCACTTTGAGCTGCACTCGTTGTTCCGATAAAACTGTTTTCGGCGGAACCGCTACTGCATACGGAACTCCTCTTGTTATGTGATAGAAGCAATCCAAAATACGACTGGGGGAAAGGATGGGAATTCATAGAGTCTGGTGTCGTGGGTGACGATGATGAAGCGTCAAAAGATGACATACGAGACGGCCATCTCTTGTGCCCTTTGCCATCATTTGCCACCGACTCGTTGCGCGTCTGTCTTCCAAGAAAACCTATTCGCGATAGTCCAAAGTCGGTTAATTTCAAATGTCCGTTTTGATCAATCAGTAAATTATCTGGCTTGAGATCTCTGGGGAGGGAAAAAAGTATACGTACGCGTGAGGATGATACAAAAAGACAAAGAATTACACTTGGGAGAGGACTGTGCGTTTTATACCTGTGAACGATTCCTCTATTATGCAGATATTCTAAACCCAATACTACTTCGGCCAAGTACTTTCTTGCCCAGTCTTCTGGTAGTCCTCCGATAGCCTTTACAAGTGCAGCACAATCGCCTCCATTAAGATATTCCATTACTAAATATAAATAGTCCTTGCTTTGAAATGAAAAATACAGTTTGACGACAAACGGAGAATCTGTCTGCGTCATGAGAATCATTCTTTCAGCCTTTACATTGGTGACCTGATTCTTTGCAATCATATCTGATTTTTTCAACACTTTGATGGCATAGTAATCCCCCGTTGTGCGCTTTTTTGACAAATACACCGAGCCAAAGGCACCTTTACTAATTGGTTTTATGATTTCGAAATCCTTGATACTCGGTTGAGATGGTTTTGACGACATTCTTGGAGATGATGTTGGCGGAGAAGCTGACGATCTGGCGTCAATAATGTCCGTTGAGTCTTTAGGTTCCGCAATTCTGGGGCTCATATTCTGCCCAACCGTTTGGCATTCACCAGTTTCCTGACCGATGTCTGCGTCAACTTGCAAAGAACTATCAGCATCATATGTATCAATAGTGGGTATAGATAGTTCGGTATCCACTTCACTTGCAATCGACGGCAACTTTGTGTCAGGATCATCGTAACTAAATTGTATGCCATCGTCTTGTGAAGAGATACCCTTGCTGTTCGTATATTCTTCAATTGCCATGCGAATCTCTTCAAACTTGTCTATGGCAGATTTAAGATTGTTCACGGCCTCAACCTTTCCTCGTATGACTGTCTCGACGTCAACGGCTAGTTCGGACATTGGTATAGCGTTCAAAACAGGTGGTTTCCAACTCAATATACTAGCTATGTTGGATTCAGATCTAGGCGAAATTAAAGCCAGTCGTTTATTATCGTCAGACTCGTCTTTTGACTCGGGAGTGGATATTTCTAATGCTACATTAAGAATGTCATTCATAGATGATAACGCATCATGCTCTATCTGTTTTTGGTCTCGATTGTGCGTTGCCGATTGTTGTTCCGAAACACCAATGTTCTCTTGCATCATCGATCGAATCTGTCCCTTCAATTCACCGATACCATCATTGCACATTGCCACATCCATTGTCGCACGATTCAAGTCTGCACAGGCCGCAGAATGTCTTTCAAAAAATATAGGCGGAATATGTCGTTCGCAGATATGGCATAAAACTGGTTTTGACTGTGTTTCTGTCTCGGAACACTCACTCCTCGGCTGCTCATAGTACGAGTCAACCCCATCTGGCGGCTCTGGCGCATCCAAATTATGTGCGGACGGTGATGTGGGAATACGTTGATATTGATGCCACATCATATTATTATCGCCTGCTTCTTCACTTATGTTTGACATATGTTCAGCCTCTTTCTTATCGGCCTCCCAAAGACCGTCATCGATCGGCTTTATGACCCAGATTGTACGGCTAGCAATCCTAGTGGCTCGATCATACACGATTATTCCTTTCCCTTCCATTTCCAAATAAGAAAATTCGTCATCATCTTCTTCAGTATCTGAAAAATAGGCATCGAAATCGGATGGCTTTAACCGGAATTTTATTTCAAGTGATCTCGAAAAATCTTGTAAAAGCTGTTCCGTCGCCTTTGCAAACACGTCAGCATCATCGGGAGCTAGAAATTGTGCAATAGGTTGCTCCAGAACCTGCCGAGGATCCGAACCCACCACCGAATTCCATGAAGGGCTGAGATACATGATTCTACAATCAGACAAACTCAAGTCCATAATGACGTTCATACTCTGCCCCTGTTTGGCGGCTTCTTGAAGATCTTCATCCTCTCTTATTGCTTCCTCTACATCTTCAGCTGTATCAACGTCTTCCACAGCGCTTCCCTTTACATCGTCCTCGTCCTGATCGGTTCCCGTATGAAATACAAACTTGATGCCGCGTAAAGTATCATTACCAACTTCTTCTTCGTCTCTGAGATTCCAAAATCCCTTCTCAGCTTCCCACAAGCGCACCAATCGCGTCAGATCTGCAAGAGCTAGCAACAAGGTCACATAGTAGCGTCGGCACGGCCAGTCAGGATTGTCATCCCAATGCCGGCCTTGCTGCTGTACCTTGCGGACGATATCTTCGCAATGTGTCGGATTGGTCAATAAATCAGAGAGCGAGGTATCCAAAATGGATTGAGCCGCGGCGATGAGTTCTTGCAAGGCTTCAATAAAAGGTGTGGCTCGATAAGAATCTTCCGATATCAAAGCGAGGCGACTATTATAATTTTTATCATTTTGTTGTGAAACTGGAGTGTTGCTATTGGAATTTCTATCACCCGAAAAAACTTCGGGCATTCCAGAGGCTGAACGGCAACTGTTTACGTCTGTCGGGGCCAAAGAGGAAACACGTTCTTTGGAATTGTCCACTGGCTCGTTCGCAACGGTCATGACCCGTTGCCCTTCGTTCGCGTTCCTTTGTTCGTTCGATTCCGGTTGGGCTTTTGCGTCGTCCAAATTAATGAACTTTTGTGAGGTTTCGGTAGCTGAAAACGAGAGCAAAATATAAATTAGCAAGCCTCTTGGCAAAATATATACAAATCGTTTTAGCCATTACCGGGAATCTCGCTATAATTAGTAAAAATCATTTCCTCTGGTTCAAAGTCAACGTCATCTTCAGAATTCTCATCGTCACTGTCATTAACGTCTTCTTCATCCTCTACGTATTGCAACCCGCGCTCTACATAACCAGTTAGGGCGTTGATAATGTTAAGCAATGATTTCTTCCTGCTCTCCAAATTGTTCTTTATTGCTACGATATTATGTAGTAATAAACTTTGTTGGGGTATATCGGAAACGGGTAGTATGGCTTCTATTGGCGGTTGCATTGGAGTATCAATGAACGATGAAGCCGACAGTCTATCATCTTCTTTATCCGAAGACCTGAATTGTATGTGATCGAGGTCAAGCGATAATGCGTGTATGTGCTTGCGATTTCTAGCTGTCGACTCGTTTTTTTCCCGGTACAAGGGTGATCCAGCTTGTGTTGCAGCGGCAGAATTTTCAAACTGATTCTGTCTGTTTTTGTTAGAAGGTGTCCCGACAGTTAGACGAGACATGTCAGGTATCGCGTTTGCATCAATGAAAGAAGTTCGGCGCGATCTAACAAGGAATTTGCCCCCGCTGCCCTGTGGTGGACTGGCATAAGTGGGCGAGCTGTTGTTACTGTCAAAATCGCTTCCAATACTGCTGGCACTGCCGTCGTCCACGACAGGGTTCAGAGGCGAAGGCCGCTTAATTTTTGAAAACATGTGCTTCATATTGGAAGATTTTGACTGCG